GAAAACAGATTGGATAGTAATACAGGCCATCTTCATCTTCTTGTATTCATGTTGTTGTTGCTTAGCAACTGACCAAGCTCTGTATCTTGCCTGTATCACTAAAGTGGATTTCAAAATCTTTTTATATTTCCTTCTCAGGATACTCATCTTCATGTTACTTTGAACGATGATGACTGCTTTTTTGAGGGTTTTATAACTTTTTCTTGCTACGTAACATCTGTAAGCTGATTGGATCTTCACAGCGGCTTTAAGCTCACGCACTAATTTTCTTGCCTTCACTGCTCTATAAGAACTCTGCAAAGTGATGGCTGCAAATCTCATTCTCAGAAATTCTTGTCTTACAGTCTTCCCAACTTTCTTCGCAAAATAAACTGATTCAACTCTCTTGACAGCTTCTCTCAGTTTTTGGATATGTTCACGTACAATATGACCACGTAGCGTAGACTGGATTCGAACAACAGCAGACATGACACGTGATCGGAGACGCTGAGCCAGAAATCTTCTAACAAAGGACTGTTGAAAAAAGAAAACAATATAGAAATGAATGGTACCATTATGTATGTAAATGAGCGATTCCTTTTATTGTATAGGTAAAACAAAAAAGTTTTGCTGATCACCGAGAATCAGTTAAATGTGTTTACTGTTTCAGAAAGATGTTTTGTCGATTTTAAACTTGGAACATGTATCTTGTTATGGTATAAATAATTTTAATACGAAAAAATAAATAAGTGCATAACTTATTAATTTTTCCATGGGACGAGAAGACTAATAAATGTTCAAGATTCAAGTTACTTCATGTGACTGAAAATTAAAAGTCTAATAAAAGAACTACACCAAACTACTTCATGATTTTGAGAAGCTCAGTCATGTTCACGTATTCTAACCAATATTGAATTCAAAATGGCTGCCAGATTATTATTTAATGAATAGAAAATTACCTGTATAATTACAGCTGCTTGCTCTTGTTTGATCATCAATTGTTGTTTTCTAATCTCTTTTACCTTCTTTCGAGCCAAATTACCTCGCCATATGGACTGCACTCTTATAGCAACGCAATGCAATTCTGCTTCACGTTTCCGCTGACAGTAATCACGGAAATGTCGCTGTATAATGATGGCTGCTGCAATCTTCAGCTGCAATAATGGCAGACAATGACATGTTATATATACTTGCTATGAAATATTTCTGAGAACTGAAGTAAAGTGAAGTTAACCTTTTCACCACCAGGTCCCTCTTTTCATCACAAATTCATAAAATAGTCCTTTTTGTAGTCTGCCCTTTCCTTCAAAAGATTCTGACAAAAACAGCCAAATTTTTTGAGTAAAAACTAAAAATTGACTAAAATTTTGTCTGTTTGCTTCAAAATTAAGGTTCATCTCCAGAAATAAAGAAACATACAAGAAAGTGCAGAAAAATATGGGCAAAAAAGTCTGGTGCTGAAACGGTTAAATTACATGTTGCGAGGACATATACTGTGGAATACTTTATTTTCGCTGAAAAGGCTTTCGGGGCGTTTTGTATGGAATTTATTTTCACTGATTTTTGATGAGTTTAATGTGAAATAAAGTAAAAAAAGTATATTCGCTGGATTTTATTTTCACGGAATCATTCTTTCAGCAAAAATAGCGAAAATAAATTCCAAGCGAAAATAAAGTATTCTACAGTACATCAAATATGTAGAGCAAATGTACGTCAAACATGAATGTATTACAATAACTTACTTTTTGTTCTTTGACTGTTTTTCTTAGTTTGTATTCTCTCCACACTGATTGGATGACTCTCGCAGCACGGCCCTCTTGGCATAGATCCAGTAGACGGTTACACAGATACGATAGAAATGTTATCACAACCTACCAGAAAGACAGAAAATGAGGGAAAAATAAAATAACTTTATTTGAAAAATTCTTATCACGACTCAGTAATTACAGTTTAGCATCATTTGTAACTTAGGTATGATAAACCATTCCATGTTTGTTAGTTATATAGAAACTGTAAAACTATTTTCTAAGCTTGTTGCAAAACCAACTCTACTACACAGAAGTGTATTGTGATATAGAGGGTTGTCTGGTATGCAACGTTATTTGGTTTGGCTGTGTTGCTGTGAGTTGCTTTGTGTGGTCTTTACAGCTAGTTTTGTGAGAGTGCACTAACCTGAGAGTGTGATTTAAAAACTACATTATCATCAAGCAGGTCAATACCTAATTGCACCCTTTGTTGTTGAATCGTGGCAAGTACATAATTTTGCCAAGATGGCGACAGTCACATTGCGTCATAGAGGGCGGTGTAAGGCAGGTTTTACAGATACAATCTGATTAAAATCTGATGTAGTGTACGGGCTTTAATTATTTTGGCTATAAACTTATTTTAATTTTATTTTTTATTACTTTTGTTATTAATGCCCTTTTATTTTATTATTTTACTTTGATTTTGATTTTGTGATTTTTTTTAATTCCGCCCTACCTACATCTGAACCGATGCCTATGTAACGAGATTTCAACGAGACCCACTATCGACGATTTTAGTCAACGAATCACAGACCTCCTTCTATAGCGCACATGATGGCGTCACCGGGCAGAGTCTGATGGCAAACACACTCAAATAAAATGGCGGATTATACCGACCGAGAAAAACACGGCTTTTCGGTAAGTTTATCATTGTCAAATGCAACGAAAGTCATTTTTATGTTAATATTGTGGCTCGAATGGTACGACTTTAGATCGTTATTTTGCATAGTTATTCTGGGAGTGTTGATTTTGTTTCCACCGGTTCGACCGAACACCAGTGTCTTTTTCCAGTCGCCTGCCCTGGAGACGGGTGATGTTTTGTTGACGATCGGGCCAAAATCGTCTACGGTATTGAAGCTGTAAATATTCATCAAATTGTATCAACATTTTGTACATTATACAATAACTCTTTATTAAAGTAATTGAGCTGATTTGGACTGGAATAAAATATTTTTTATTTGGAACACATCGCAATTGATCAGGAAATATTTGTTTGCTCCAATTTTCTGCGTCGATGCCGTGGGCCGGTGACCGTTATACAATTTAAAATCAGTTTGCATTGTTTACTATAGCTGTTTACAGTGTTCTAATCATTACGATTTACTTATTTTTTTGCTTCCATTCTAGATAATTATGCTCAGTGATGTAAAATTGAAGCGATGACTGAATGAACGAACCTTGGCTGGCGAAGATGTATCTGGAAGTGTACACATTTGTTGGAAGTGAAAAAAATATTCAATGTAATGACAAAAATTGTAAAATGCTGTGGAATTTCTTTTGCAAATAAAAATATACTAGCAATTTTCTATTAATGGTTTATTCAAGTGGGCAAAATATAATGTACAGAAAGATTGCCCGTATACACTGAAAAATAAGCAACCGACAGCCTGTATAAAAGGGGGGCTGTGATTGGCTGTTACTTACGCGAGATTTGAACGGGACTTACATAGGC